CCTTGTGGCTAATAGCCACTGATGGACCTCTGCTCCATATGCTTATCTAATTCCCTCTTGAAGCCGTCCATGCTTGTAGCCGCCACCACTTCCTGTGGCAGTGAATTCCATGTAGAAGGACTTCTTTTTATCCGTTCTAACCCGACCGCTCAGCAGTTTCATGGAGTGCCCACGAGTTCTTGTACTGTGAGAAAGGGAGAAAAGTACCTCTTTCTCTACCTGCTCTTTCCCATGCATAATCTTATAAACCTCGATCATGTCACCCCTCAGTCGTCGTTTCTCCAAGCTAAAGAGCCCTAAGCGCTTTAACCTTTCCTCATAGGGAAAACTTCGAAAACTTCATCATACTTCATAAAGCACTCATAGTGTACAAGTATATACATGCAAAAATCCAATCCTTATATCAAAACCGTCAAAACTGGGTACCCGATCAGCAATACAACACTTTCTTATATAGTCGACAAACCGACTTATATCCTGTTATATAAACAGTTTCACTTTTGTGTATATTAATTGGGCACTCTTTGGTCTCTGTTATTTACAGTGCTTGCTTGTTTCATATTTACAGTGTCCTGTGTTATCACACTTAAAATTCTCTTTCCCGACATCTCATTTTCCATTGTCTGTATGCCAGGAAGTTCATCGCACATGCCTTCACAAGCTTTCGTTAGGATTAACGGCTTAAGAGCTGCCTTCAGCAGTTTATCTTCTTATTCATGCTAGACATCATAAATCATATCGCTCAGATCTTACGGTACTATTCATAGCAATTATTTAATGCATGGTAATCCTTTTTTTCGGATTGCTTTATTCCAGACTCTGATATCTACTCGCTATCCTTTTAGAGGGAATTTAATCCATTCTGCAATTTGTACTATTGTGAAATCCTTCAATTTCGCTGCTGGGGATGTGGAATGGTATGGTATAGGCCGATCCCGTCAGATCTCAGAGGCTAAGCTGTTACCTCAGATGTTATATTTGTCCAAAAAGGCGGTCTCCTGTTTATTAGGGGAATTAGCAAGGAGACAGGAAAGCTTGCGGGAGGGAGGTAGCTAGGGAGTGTCTCCACCTTTGTTTTACAGGGATCTTTCCCTTAGAGAAACTCTCAGGAATGAACCAGAAATCTTGATAAAATGCACACATGCAGAAATAAAACACACTTAAAAAAAACAACACACACACAAGCACTGGAAATACAAAGGTGAGTGGGAATAAACGTTATTGGGGGCTTATAATTACGATTCCACGGAGGAGGAGGAGGAGAGATTGGATCTATACCTCGCCCTTCACTATCCGAAGGAGTCTCAGAGCGGCTTACAAACTCCTTCCCCTTCCCCTCCCCACAACAGACACCCTGTGAGGTAGGCGGGGCTGAGAGAGCTCTGACAGAAGCTGCTCTTTTTCAAGAACAGCTCTTATCAGAACTATGGCTTGCCCAAGGTCATCCAGCAGGTGCAAGTGGAGGAGTGGGGAATCAAACCTGGTTCTCCCAGATTAGAGTCTGCACATTTAACCACTACACCAAACTGGAGAAGAGCCTGTGCAGGTGGAAAGGAACCCAAACAAATTTGGGGGTGACCTGTCAGTAGGCGCCCAGAACGGACACACAGCGGTGGAGCTGGAGCTGCCTGTTTATAGGAGACATTCCGAATTGCCTTAATATGAGCCTCTCCTCCTAGATACCTCATAAAAGAAATTTGCTACAGGTTCAAGAATTTCTACATTATGCAAAGACAATAAAGAAATAATTTTATACTCATCAGATTGGCCCAAAAGGGGGTCCAACACAAGTTCAATATAAGCAACACGGATGTCATAGTGGAATTTACAGTACAAAAGCACATGTCCAATAGATTCAATTTCCCCCATCCCACATGGGCACAATCTATCTTTATAGGGAATTTTTTTGAACCTTCCCGATAAAACAGCTGAGGGAAGGACGTTGAACCGAGCTAGCGTGAAAGACCTACGAAGATGGGGCTGAATCAGCCTTGCCAGGTATCCTGAGGAAATGTGGCTGAAAGAGAGTCCTATACTCAAGGGAGAGCAATGTCTATGTCTTCTCAGATCTTGCACCTCTATATCGAGGAGTCTTTGTCTGAGTAAGGCAAAAACCTTCTGCTCAGACAAAAGTACTAAATCATCAAAACTAAAGCCAATTATAGATTTTCCCCCCTCTATATTAATCAACCAAGTCGATAGATGGGATTTTGTTAACATGTGTACCACAAGACTGTTTGGGCCACATCTAAAATGAAGGCGCAGCCAAAATTTAAAGGTTATGGTCCATGCCATCGTAATTAACTGTCTTTGGGTTGTCTCCAGGCACATAGCTGCATATGGTACGCAAGCTGGTAGCCCCAAGATTTTCTTCAGGAACTTAGATTGAACACGTTCCACAGCTTCATTGCAAGCTGAGATCCAAATTGATATCCCCCATATAGCTTTTTTAAACTTTTTGGATTTTTCTGCACTCCTGGGGCCTGCTAATCTCTCTGCCCCCCCCCCCCAAGTGCCCCCGATGTGCAGATTTAGATATCCGCACGGAGAGGGCAACTTGGCTATTAGATATATAGATTAGCTCTCTCAGCCACAGTTCTGCAGATAAACACAGGCAGGGCTTTTTTGGTAGAAAAAGCCCAGCAGGAACTCATTAGCATAATAGGCCACACCCAATAGCATAAACGCATTAGCCTATTAGGCCACACCCTAACAGCACAGCTCATTAGCATATTAGGCCACACCCCATGTTACCAGAAGTGTGGTCATCCAGCCACACCCACCTTTTGCTTCTTATTCTTATTCTGTTTACTTTGTTTATTGTCAAAACCCAGGGCTTTTTTTTGTAGCAGGAACTTCTTTGCATGTTAGGCCACCCCCCCTGATGTAGCCAATCCTAATGAGTTTCTGCTGTTGGGTGTGGCCTGTTATGTTAATGAGTTCCTGCTGGGCGTGGCCAACTCGGGAGCCAGGCGGAACTCCGTTCCTGTGCGTTCCTGCCCAAAAATAGCCCTGAACACAGGACAAACTCTGATCTGGATGGTCCAGGATATACTGGTGTCATCAGATCTCGGAAACTAAGCAGGGTCTGCTCTGGTTAGTACCTGGACAAGGGACCACCAAGGAAGCTCAGGGTTGCTTCATAGAGGCAGGCAGTGGCAAATCACCTCTGTTGATCTCTTGCCTTGAAAATGGTATGGCAGGAGTGTCAAACATAAAGCCCGGGGGCCAGAACTGGCCCATCCAAGGCTCTTATGCAGCCCGCAAGCAACTAGTGCAAGGGAGGGAACCGGAGAGTGTTTGGGGGGGGGAGTGGGCGAAGCCACTCTGATTGCGGCTTCAGCATGGCAGAACAACCTCATCTGCAGCAGTCAAGCAGCGTGGGAGCGTCTGCCCAGTGCTGCACCGCTGGCTCTCCAGTCTGCCCATGTGGGTTTTCCTTTGCACCCCTCTCCCAGCCCCTGGGGCCTTGCAGCGTGGATACACCAACTCGGAGCTTACCAGCTGCTGTCCTTTATGCGGTTTATATCTCCAGTACCTCTCATTACGTTTTATGGCACAGATGACCTTAGCCTGGCCCGACAAAGGAACATTTATGTCAGATCCGGCCCCTCGTAACAAATGGAGTTCAACACTTCTGCACTATGGGATTGCCATTAGTTGGCTGTGATTTGACGGCGCGTTCCACCACCCCAGATCTCACAAGTGCAAACCTCAAGACACGCTTGCCCATGTTGTGCAAAAAACCAGGGTGGCGTTGACTCGTCACCGGCTGCTCAGAACTCTTGCAGGTCCTCCCCTTTAGGAAACAAGTGCCCAACGGGAGCCTCCCCTCGTCCATCTAGGGATGCGCGGACAATGCATGCTGGCAGGTCATCGAGGGAGGGAGACGCCTTGCCCTGCCCCGAGCTGCCTGTGCTGGTTGTGTTTCTATCCACCCCCTCCCACGTACCTACCCAATCTGGGCATGGCCTCAGCAACACCCCTTCTTCAGACATCACCGGCTGTCTGTCTGCAAGGCGCGGGAAAGGGAAGAGGCTCTGCACACAGGTCGCAAACAGCATAGCCTCATATGCTGTCAGGGTAGCGTCATGCTGGTGTGATGTTGCAAAGCAGAGCTTTCCCTCATTCAGTTTTCCATCACAACCGTGTTTCCCAACCTGTGGGTTGGGACCCAAAAGTAGCTTGCAAAGCCTCTTAAAATGGGGGGCAGGCCAGCCCTCGTTAAGGAGAAGAGAAGAGATTGGATTTATACCCTGCCCTTCACTACCGCGCACTTAACCACTACACCAAACCGGCTCTAGATTATCGCTAACCTTAGGAAAGTTCTTAGGAAATCTATCCGAAAATTCTGTAATATTGATGCTTTAATGTCTGCTTCTGTATTTGAAATATATATTTGGTAATATATCTGATTTTACTTGTTGTACGTAACATTTCATATTATTTGGCAAACCTGATTTCCCCCACCCTTTTTTCCCTTCTTTCTGAGAAAATGATAAAAAAAATGATTTAAAAAAGACAAATGGGATCCCCTGTGTGGGGGAGTCCTGGGGCGTGATCAGCAGCTCAGTGGAACCTCCATATTCAGAGGTAGTATACCTCTAATCGCTGAGGTGCAAATTGCTGCGCTTGAGAGTTTCCCAGAAGCACCCTGCTTAGCTGCTGTTGGATGGTCACATGTTCAAATCCTGCAGGGTTTCTTCTTGTATTCTTTCTGCTGTAGACAGGACTGAGCTCCGTCTCTGGAAAGACAGACGGTGTATGTCACAACCTGAAAGGTGTAGTCAGCACAGCTGTATCTAATTAACAGTTGCAGGCATCAAAGGCGTAATGAGCGTGTTTTCATCTTGGACAGAGTCTCCAGCTATAACTTTCCAAACACGTGAGCCGTTCAACACACTTCAGTTGAGAAAGCACCTGAAGCGGCAGACGTGGGATTGGAAGTGACAGGACTGAAAGTGAAGGGCAGATGGAAATCCGTGGACTGTGAATGGGAACTCCCCCATGGGAAGGACATAACAGGATACCGGGATTCCGCTCACAGGCCACAACACGGGCGGCTGCGATTCGGTTCACCGAAAAAGCGGCAGCGAAATGTTGGCACTGAGTACTATCTTTAGCCTGCTCCTTCTGTGCTATCTGGTGGTGCAGTTCGTCAAACTGCAGAGAGAAATAAGGAAGTTTCCACCCGGACCGGCGCCGATCCCGATTATTGGATGTTTATGGCAACTGAAATTCTTTCGATTAGACCGCAAGATCCTGACGGAGGTATTTCTGCATTTTGATCAATTGTGCTATCTGGTGGTGCAGATCAACTGCATTTTGATCAATTGACTTATTGTTTATTGGGTAGCGACATTTCAGGGCTCTTACAGGTTACAGCTGTAGAACAAAGTTTGAGTCCGGCGGCACCTTTAAGACCAACAGGTTAGAGCTGTGGTTCGTGTTCTTGAGCGGTAGCTATGGTGTGGCCCCAGTGTGCTCAGAGCGATTGCAGTTTTCAACAGTTGCATATTAATCAAGAGAATTCTTGTGGTGTTGGGAATATGTGCCTAGCGGGACTCCGCTATCTTCACACTTGAGGCTATGTGGAAGGAAATGTCTCCTGGCTTTTCTGTCTATGCAGTCTCCTTTCCTTGATGTAGGCAAACCAAGGGAGTAATGTAGATCAGGGGTGTCAAACTCATTTGTTATGCGGGCCAGATCTGACATAAATGAGACCTTGTCGGGCCGGGCTGGGTAATGCCAGGTAGCAGAGATATAAACTTTATTAAGGACACAAACACAATTAAAGATTTTTTAAAAACTTAAAACATGCTTAAAACATTAGCACTCTTGCAATACGTTGTTTATTTAACAGTCTCTGATAACTGACACCTCTTTGAGTTATTGCATCAAAATCTGGAGACAATGTCTGTCCTGTTGTAATCTTGAGTATGCTGTTCAGGTGTGTATCTGTAAGTTGCAAACCTACTTTTGATTTATTGACATTCACTACAAAAATCTCACCGTCAATGCTTTGAGCCTAAGACCCAGAGAAAAACATGAAACTGTATGTTTAAATTGTTTGTAAGCTTCCCTGAGCTGCTTCGGCGGGAGGGCAGGGTAGAAATTTAATAAATAAATAAATAAGTCTAACAAACTTTATTGTAGCATAAGATTTCGAGAAACAAAGCTCTCTTTGTCAGTCCATCAAGTCCAACACTCTGGGTCACACAGTGGCCAAAAATACCAGGTGCCATCAGGAGGTCCACCAGTGGGGCCAGGACATTAGAAGCCCTCCCACTGTTGACCCCCCCCCAAGCACCAAGAATACAGAGCATCACTTGCCCCAGAGCCCCTATCTATACCTTGTGACTAATAGCCACCGATGGACCTCTGCTTCATATCTTAATCCAATTCCCTCTTGAGTCCATGCTTGTAGTCGCCGCCACCTCCTGTGGCAGTGAATTCCATGTGTTCATCACTCTTTGAGTGAAGAAGGACTTCCTTTTATCCGTTCTAACCCGACCGCTCTGCAATTTCATGGAGTGCCCACGAGTTCTTGTATTGTGAGAAAGGGAGAAAAGTACCTCTTTCTCTACCTGCTCTATCCCATGCATAATCTTATAAACCTCAATCATGTCACCCCTCAGCCATCGTTTCTCCAAACTAAAGAGCCCCAAGCGCTTTAACCTTTGTCTTCATAGGGAAAGTGTCCCAACCCTTTGATCATTCTAGTTGCCCTTTTCTGCACTTTCTCTAATGCTATAATATCCTTTTTGAGGTGCGGTGACCAGAACTGTACACAGTATTCTAAATGAGGTCACACCATCGATTTATACATGTATATATTCTTGGGAGATTTATTTACTGCACTCAGAGGATAAATCTCCCAAGAATATATAAATGTATAAATGACTGGGCAAAACTCTGCTATGTTAACCAAATATCCCAATAGGGTTATGGGTGAACAGAACAAATTTTAAAGTTTAAAAGGAATTTCTATCTCTTTGTTTTTCTTTAGCTTGAGCAATTACAAGCCTTCACCACTTACTGGAAAGAACAAAAGACCCCAGGAATTCGCTTAACAGCTGGTCCCTAGTGCTGAGTGCAGAAAGAAACTTCCCAACCACCTTTAATTTGGAAGGAGGTGTACCTCTAACAGTGGTTAAGGTGGCCGTGGGAAAGTTTTTCTTGGGAAGACTCGAAAGGAGGTAGTGCCCAGATCCTGGATTGGTCCCAATCTCTTAACCACAGGATTAAAGAGTTTGCTCTCTTTATGTCTGCAATGGGCTCAGACGCTCTAGATTGCAAAATGAATGGGGTTGTTGCTGGATCACTGTATAGAGCAGAGGTGTCGAACTCATTTGTTACGAGGGCTGGATCTAACATAAATGTCCCTTTGTCGGGCCACGTGTGCCATAAAACGTAATGCCAGGTACCGGAGATATAAACTGCATAAAGGACAGCAGGTGGTAAGCTAGGGTTGCCAAGTCCATCTTCCACCCCCAGCGGGGGACTTTGGGGGCGTTCCTAGAGGGGGCGGGGCATCCCCGACGTGATGACATTATGTTGGGGACGTCCGCCCCCCCGCCCGCGCACGGGATCTCCAGAAACGGCAGTTCCCTGCACTTAAAGGAGCTGGCGTTTCCGTTTTAAATGCAGGAGCTGGCATTTCCCCTTTAAGAGCAGCCGCGTTTCCCTTTTAAGAGCACGAAGCTGGCATTTCCCTGCAAGCTTGCGGAGATCGTGCTTGGGAGGAAACACGGGTTCCACATACTTAAAGGGAGAGAGATGGGTGGTTGTGGGTGTTGGAATCGAGTAGAACCCCCCCCCCCAAAACAGGGGACCCCCGGCAAACCAGGGGGGTTGGCAACCCTATGGTAAGCTCTGAGTTGTTCTATCCTCACTGCAAGGCCCCAGGGGCTGGGAGGGGGGTGCAAAGGAAAACCCACATGGGCGGACTGGAGAGCCAGCGGTGCAGCACTGGGCAGACGCTCCCACGCTGCTTGACAGACAAGGTTGTTCTGCCATGCTGAAGCCACACTCCCTCCTGAACAGTCCCCTGTTCCCTCCCTTTGGCCTGATCCAACATTGGCTTCACTGATGTTCTTATAGGAACTCTCCGTCTGGGGCAAGGGATGCTCTGTCTTCTTGGTGCTTGGGGGGGGGCAACAGTGGGAGGGCTTCTAGTGTCCTGCCCCCACTACTGGACCTCCTGATGGCCCCTGGTATTTTTGGCCACTGTGTGACACAGAGTGTTGGACTGGATGGGCCACTGGCCTGATCCAACATTGGCTTCTCTGATGTTCTTATAGGAACTCTCAGTCTGGGGCAAGGGATGCTCTGTATTCTTGGTGCTTGTGGGGGGGGCAACAGTGGGGGGGCCTCTTGTGTTCTCGCCCCACTGCTGGAC